GGAAAATGGAAGAATTAGAGGTAAAAACAAGCCTGACAGAGATTTCAAAGCAAAAGAGACCCCCTCTTCACTTTTCTCCTGTGCAAAACCCCCTGGATCAGCCTGCACTAACCACTGAAAACGTGGAAAGCAAGTGCAAAAACCCCTGGATCAGCCTGCACTAACCACTGAATCACCTGACTCTCATCCTTCAAATCCACATATTTCAATAGACCTTCTCCTGAGCTACTGCAACTTCCCCCTTTCTTCATATCCTGCTGCCAGGTAACTCTCCCTATTCCTATCCACACAATTCCTTTATCAAGCCTGACTTTTCTTGGGTGTGTAGTTTACAACGTAAGCAACCCAGGCAGTGATTATGCAGAACCTAACAACTGTTGATGTTCAACTAACAAACAGTAGCACTACTTCTCAGTAGTACAGACCTTTTTCAGCATTAGACATCATTGTCCCAGCAGAGCTTGGAAGCCCTGTTTTCTACAGTTATCCAAACAGCTGAATGTTTTTGAGTCTTTTCCTTTCTGAAATGCAGACTTAGGAAACCATATCTAGACTCTACTCCCTTTGTTTCTTCTTCAGACCCTACTCTATATCCCTTATCCTGCCCTCCCCAAGTCATGCTGAATTGTGTGGGGATGATGGAACAGGAAGACATCAAAAGAATTGCATTTTACTAATTACTTCAAGAATCTCAGAATGGAGGTTTAATCTAAACAAGATTAGGTTGAGAAGTACTAACTGCTCAAGGCCACAAATGACTTTTATGATGACCCTGTATTTGCACTGTACAGCAAATTCCAGTGGTAATACCTAGACTTACATTCCACATTTCAAATAGACAAAACCAGGGGTCGTTTCATAGAAAAAGAGCTAGGGAAACTCATTAGCATAACTCATTAGCATATGCCACACCCCCTGACATCACCAGAAGTGTGTCATAAGGCCACACCCCCTGACATCACCGGAAGTGTGTCATAAGGCCACACACCCCGCCCCCAATGGTCCCGGCCGCCGCCGCCAGCCTTGCAGCTCCACTGCCGAGCCCCATGAGGGGCCCGGCGGTGGACCTGCAAGGCCGGCGGGAGTGCAAAGAAGCCCCACAAAGGTCCTCCCTGGCCCCAGGCAGGCAGGGGTGGGGAGAAGCAGGGAGGAAGCAACTTAGCCTCCCTCTTCTCCTGCCTCCTCCTGGCTGAATGAGGGCCGGAAGCGGGGCGGCCGGAAGCAGGGGGCGGGGCTTCATCATGTGCCCCGCTCCCCTGTACCTCACCCGGGGGAACTGCGATACCCCGCGATCCCCTCCGAAATGACCTCTGGACAAAACACATTTCAAGTAGACAGAGCCAGTTTGGTGTAGTGGTTAAGTGCGCGGACTCTAATCTGGGAGAACCAGGTTTGATTCCCCACTCCTCCACTTGCACCTGCTGGATGACCTTCGGCAAACCATAGTTCTGGCACAGCTGTTCTTGAAAAAGAGCAGTTTCTGTCAGAGTTCTCTCAGCCTCACCTACCTCACAGGATGTCTGTTGTGGGGAGAGGAAGGGAGAGGAGTTTGTAAGCTGCTCTGAGACTCCTTTGGGTAGTGAAGGGCGGGGTATAAATCCAATCTCCTCTTCCTCCTCTTCTTCTCATACTCTCTGAGGGCTGGTCTTCACATACAGCAGAGTGCTGAAGTGGTAGAATGGACTGTACGGCTTCAGACTGCTAGAGAGGGATTATATTTTCCAAAGTTCCTCTATATTAATAATTCCCAGTAAGTGGGAAAGTAGCACATCATGTGAAAGGTAAGCCTAGAATCTTTCTGCATGATATGCTTTTTTATATATTTGCAGGGAGTTTTTAGATGAGAGAGTACTGAAATATGGTCTGCAGTCTGAAGTGGTATGGTTCATTCTGCTACCTCTCAATTCGACTACCTCTTTTTCCTGTGCTATAAACCAGGCCTCAATAATTCTTACAAAAGTTCTGTAAAGTAAGCCAGCGTTATGACCCCATACTGTAAATGAGAAGCTGGAATTGGAATCTAGTGAACCAAGGATTTGTCAATTCACACTTATGTAGCCCAATGTAGCAGGGTAGGTCCCACTGAATTCATAGGTTTGCAGTCTTTACCACCTAAGTCCTCTTGCGAAAAACTGTACTTCAGCCTGATGTGAAGACACCCCCAAATCCTCTACATAGCAAAGAGAAGTTGAGAGATATTGACATGAGCCATTTCCTTAACATGTTTATATTTGGTTGCTTCCTCTATACTTATTTACTTCATTATCCTGCTTTTTTCCCCAGTGGAGACCCAAAGTGGCTTACACTGTTCTCTCCTCCATTCTACCCTCACAACAGCCCTGTGAGGTAAGTTAGGCTAAGTGTACACAACTCACTCAAGGTCACACAGCAAGCTTCCATGGCAGAATGGGGATTCAAACCTGGATGTCCTAGTTCCTATCCGATGCGCTAATCACTACATCTCATTTTGTCTTTTCTGCATAACATCTGGTGACAGGAGACTATTTCTCCCATTGCACATGCAAAGGAATCAAGGATACTCATCCTAAATGTCTCAGTATAGGCTTGGGAAGGAGATGACATATTTGAATTCAGCCTAGTATCTTTGGGTCCTAGCCAGCCCTTTAACATCAGGGACAGTTTTTTCCTCAAAACAAAAGGCTAAACTTTAGTGTAAATAAAGGCCAACCCTAGACCATACATTGCTGCAAACACCAATATGTCACAATAATTTTGCGTCACTTGTGGGCACTTTCCCCTTCAGTAGGTTGGTTATAGTACAAAGAGGCTTGGTTACGAAGTTGTACTAAAAGCCATGGTTTGGGAGAGGGGGAAGGTAGCTCTTTAAATATGGGGTCAAAGAAGGCTCTATTAGATCCTGTGTTCAATGAAGATAGACTGAGAGAAACAATGGCACTACAAACATCCTATCCATCCCTACACACAGTATCCTTTTTACTCTCACACCATAGCTGACCCTAGTCCAGCCTCCAGCTGAAGCCTTTATAGACACCCATTTATCTCCTAGAGTCAAAGGCTAAAGCAATACACTAGGCTGAACACTCTGAACTGGCAGTTTTCTGGCCCTGAGCTCTGGCTGTTCTTGTTAAGCAGAAGCCAAGGACCTAAGGGGCAGTTGGAAATGGCATGCACTGTGCCTGCTGGAAGCATCTGTTCCTTGGAGCAGACGGTGAGACAAAAATAATTCACCATTGCATCGTCTCCATTGGTCTGCCTAAGGTTCCTTGAAACCCTGTCTGCCACTAACCAAGGACGGCAGGAGCTAAAAAGGCAGGATGCCCAGGCTCACTTTCTGACTTCAGGGAGAAAGAAAATGGAGATTTAAGAATCACCCCCAACAGTTTAGTATGTCTATCTGCTACCGCTTATCTCTCAGATACTGAAGTACATTGCATTGCATACACACAGAGAAAGCAGGGGGAGGGGGGGGACTACAGTTATTGGAGGCTGTCAGAGTAAAAGGCTGAATTAAGGTCTCCCAATGTTTCTGTGTCTCAGTTCTAGCACATCACAAGTAGATGCATCTTTCACAGTAGTGCTAGGTGAGATTCCCACCTAGGGGAAGACAGGAGCTACTGCTCACAATCAATGCAAGATGGAACTGTACATGGTGGAGGGGAGCAGAGATATAAAAACAGATAATGGAGCATAAGGAGGGCACCAGTGCTCTATCAAGGTTTCCATCTACCAAACCCACAAAACAAATAAAATAATAGCACCTCAGTGCTCTTCCCCCCCTCAGTCAGTTGCAGCCTTGAGATGGTTTGGACACATTTGAAATAAAACCTCCAGCCCATGACTCTTTCCTTAACATTAGATGCTCCCCCCCCCCTCCCCGGTGTCTGCTTTTTATTGTGGGAACGTGTGCAAGGATGATGGGGGCAGGTGGAGAAAACCGGGCTTTAGCACCTATTTGTCTTCCTCTCCCAGAACTCCAGAACGACTGATGGTCTCAGCTATGAGGCATCTTTCTCAGGTCCCACCACCGCGGCTTCCACCCCATGCCAAAGTGGCAGAGGTGCCACGCACTCACCTGTATCTCTTCAGAGATCCTTGCTGGCAGCCAGCAAAGAGTTAATGCCGCCAACTGTGCCTGGCATCGCTCTCTCCCAAGTGTCCTGCCAAGACATCCGAAGGCAGATCATAATCCGTAGCTGTCTGGAGAGAGGCTAGGAGGGGGCAGGTAAGCGGGTGGGGAAAGAGGAAGGGCGGCCGGTAGGGGTGCAGTTGAGAGCCAATCTCAGGGCATGGTGGTACCCTAGACGCCAGCTTGGCACTGAACCAGTACAGAGAGGAAGGAGGACCGAGCAGCTCTCCGGAAGCTCCTGGAGCGGGAGAGCGTGGGGTGGTGGGGAACACCCCGTGTCCGCCCCGTTTGCTGGGCGGGGAGCAGGCAGCCGCGCGTGAGCCGCGATTAAGGCTTGCACATGGCGACCATCGTGCAGCTGCCGCCAAGTCAAACACCGTCTTGCTCGCTTCTGGCCAGGAGGGAAATGTTCAGGGAGCCAACCCCTGTCGCCTGCCCCGAAGGCTTGTCGGACACACTCCCCCCCCCCGTGCTGCCAATCCCTCTCTCGCTCCCTCCGGTCGCCTTTTCTCCTCTCCTCCCCCTCGCACGTGGTTGTTAACGAAATAAAAAAAATCCTGGCAGGAGGAGCCAGCCTTTAATTATTTATGTCGACAACAAACCCAAAACGGTAATTATACATTGCAGCTGCCGTGGCCCCGGGCAGGGCTAGACCCAAGGAGCATTCTCGGGAAAGGGGCACTCTCGGCGGCTGCCTGCTGGCAACGGGAGGCGAGGAGCAATCTCTGGCGCCTTCTCGGCACACACAGCAAGACACGGGCAAAGCCCGACACCTTTTCCTTTGCTGCGCGGCTGCGGCCCGTTTTGCACTGGGGCCGGCCGGGCTCAGAAGCTCCTCTCCAACTAGCAGACACCTCCGTCTCCCAGAAGAGGGGGAAGATCCTGGAGGGCTTCTTTTTGTTTATGAAGGGGCCAAGGAAGTCGTCTGTAAGGGGGAGAGGGGGTCGGGGGGACAGGAATGGTCGTGAGGTGGGAGGAGAGGAGAGGCGAGTGGTCGAAACGAACGAATGGACTGACTTGTTGCGTGCAGTATGTGAAGCTAACCTATGGAACTCATTGCCATGCTATGCTCAGGGGTGACGTTTCAGGCGTTTGCCGCGTGTGATTGCGGTTTCCGTATGCAGGATGGCAAGGGCAAACACCTAGATTCGACACCAGGCGCAAAGGTTTGGTTACAGGCAGCATTAAGCTGCAGTGAAGAAGCTGTTGTCCGAGTCGGATTTGCCAGAGGCAGGTTTTAGCCTCTGCCTTGGAACGCTGGACAGGGCTCAAAATCTCTGAAGAGAAAGAGACATGCCTTATGCAAAAATTCAGCTAAAGCTCTCGCCATTTGTCATACAGAGCAGGAGAACCTGGATAAATGAAGGGGGCAGATATGGCACCCTGACTAGACATTACACTAG